CCTTTGTGAACTGAGGAAACAGAGCGTTGGGGAGACTAAGTAAGCTGCCCCAAGTCACATACTTGATAAGCGTGGCGGAACTTGGATTCAAAGGCAGGTCTGCGAGACTTCTGCCATGCCCTACTGAATTCCACTCGACATTTCTCAAATCAAGAGTGAAAGCTGCACTTCTTCAAGCTCCTTAGAAGAAACAGGTGAAGGGGTGGGAGAGAGATTTTAGTGCAACTCTGCAGCTATGTCCATGCATATAACTGATTTCATTATTTTCTAATCGATCTGTTTGTTTTTGCTGTAATCTTAGCTGGATGCTAAGCAATTGCTCAGGGAGCTATGCTGCTGAACTTTTTTGGGTAACCACGTAGGCCCCCCAAAAAGGGTGACATGAGTAAGTGTTTGGGGGTGCCATCAGCCTGCTCCCGTATCCTGGGGTGTAGAGTGATCTGGCTTCTTCCATTAGCGAGAGACTATTCCTCATCTGACACTGACATTGAACCTCCCTGGGGCCTCAGTTTGGTCACCTGTAGTGGCACTTATTTCACGGAGAAGTTTGATGAACAGAAGCAATATAAACAAAGCAGCTGGCAGGGGTGCTGGCACACAGTAGGGGCTCAATAAATTGTAACTATCATCATTGCAACTATCATTGTTTTTAATATTAATATTTTATAACAAAGCTTGGGTAGAGCATGTTGTTGGACAGCCATGCTGAAGAAGTCAGTCTCTAGGAGGGTCCGCTGGCTTTGTTGGGGTGCACAGCTACCGTGACAAACAGTACCCCAACCTCATCCCAAATCAGGGAAACACATCTGCTTCTAGTGTGTGATCAGAAACAAATTCATCCCACTCACTGGCAAAATGTTCCTGAAGCCAATGGCAAGTCAATATGGTTATCTTCATACGAAAAAGACAGCGCGTGCTTATTTGGGGCTTCTGAATCATATCCCTTACCAGTTCTCAAAATTCCGCTGCCTAGGAATTATCTAGGTCAGAGGTCACAAACGTGGTCCAGAGTGGGGGTGGCAGGTTCTATGCAGCCTGAAGACATGTTTGGTCTGGCTCAACAGCATTTAAGTTTTTTAAAAAAAAATTAGTTGTCCATATAACAATAAAACATATGAAACTCCCGATTTCCAGCTCCTTTTGAAAATGTGAAGACCTTAGACCTGACCCCCCTCCCCACAACGTAGAGCAATAATTCCACAATTGGAGTGACTGAGATGGGGGCTGTGGTTTCCCTAGAGAATCATACTCAGCATTCTTGGCTCCTTTAGGCCAAGGTCCTGGTAAGTCCATTTCTTCATTTTACAGTGAGGAAAAAAAATAGAATTGTTGGAAGTCACACAGTTTGCTACGGCAAAGAGCGCAAGCGGGAACGAGGATTCCTGGGTCTCAGCCAGTGCCCTGTCCACCATAACTTTCAAAGTCAATGCCATGATATCCTGCTCAGTCCAGGAAGGACATGGGCACAGCAGACCAAGAGGACGCCAGCATGAGAAACGGGCCAAAGCAGGCAGGACTCCTGGGCACAGGCTTTGCAAAGGAAGTCTCAGGTGGCAGCATCTGAAAGAGCTTCCCTGTCTTCCCTTTCAAAGTCCAGACACCTCTGCAGACAGTTATTGATTTCAGCTGCAGACTTTCTCGCCTGTCTGTCTGTCTCCACTGCTACTTCAGATCCCTTCCCCGGGCATCCATCATCTCTCACCTGGATTAGTGCAACAGTCCCCTAACTTAACCCCTTCCTCTGGTCCTACTGACGTGATCCTTCCGTGATGCAACTAGAATGATCTTCCTTAAATGCACATCTAATCACACCATTCTCTCAGTGATTTTCCCTTGTCCCCCTCCCTTATCAAGTCCAGACTCCTTAGCATATTTTGTGAGAAGACCTGTGGGACCCACCCTGGCTTACATTTCTGGCCACATCATCTCTTTCTGTTCTCCCCAGCAAGCCTCCAGCCACCCTGCATCTCTGGAATGGATCTCTCTCTCTACCTGGAACACCACCACCTCTACTGGCTAACTCAACCCAGCCTTCAGGCCTCTGTTTAGATCTAACTTCTTCAGGATATGCTTTCCTAAGCTCCCTCCACCCCCAGATTAGGTTAATACCATCTGGACACCCCCATCACAGTACCTAAATAACTTTATTGAACTTGCATCTTTAACTAACTGTTGTTCCCCCTGGTCTATAAGCTCTGGGATTCATAGATCACATCTGTGTGGTTCACAGATATGGGAGCACATAGTAGGTGCCTTATAAATGTTTACCCACTAAATGAATGAAAAGATAAATGGATATTGTGGATGGAGAAGAAAAATTAGGAAAGTCACAGTAACTTTTCACTCTGGATGGGCAAGCCACTTGACTTTTCTGGTCTCGGTTTCCACATGTGTACTAAGAGAGGCCTGGACAAGATCATTTATTCTCAACTCAGGGTCTCTGGAATGCCATAGGGCCTGTGAATAAAGTAGTGGAGTTTTAGGAGCAATTTACAATATTTCAAAACCCCCGAGAGGAACCACACACCTTCCTGTGATGAGCTGGCTACAGCCCACTAAAACCTCAAGTGGCTCTGCGTTAAGACAATATTAATTACTGGGCAACACGGGGTACCTCATGTGGAGTAAGGGCTTCAGGAGCAATTAATGGTGTCTTTGATCAATAAAACACAGGAATAGTACAGAAAAACACAGTCTGTTCATGTGTAATGTTTTTCAAAACACCATGACCAAGAGGTAAAATAATAAAATACTGCTTGGATGGGGAGAGTAGAGACCACAGACTTTCAAGATGGGGTCAGTTCACTATTAACTGGTCAGAGAGAAGGCCCCTCAGGTGTTCCTGTGGATGAGCCCCAGAAGGGTGGACGATGTGCTATGGCCCAATCCTGAAGCCTCTCTCTTCTTGGCTGAGGGCGGCCCTCACCCCCACCATCTGTTCCTTTGGGAGCCCTGCCTGACGCCCAGAGCCTGCCATCCTGCAAGCTCATGAGGTTTCAGAATCTACAGGCATTGGGCTGAAAGCCCTGTCTGGCCACACGGGGGCGCCCTCACTACACACACTGGGATTCCGAGGCCCAGCTGGAGTGGGAGCTGGGAGACAGATCCGATCCTGGAACCCTGTGGGGTCAGGAGATGGGGTTCTCAGTGCTTCGTACCACAGCCGATGATCCTTGGGAAGATGCCTCCCACCCTCCCTGACCAAGGATATGCTGCCCTGGGGTTGCCCACTCTGCTGTTCTCAAGAGATTGGCTGGGGGGGCTCCTCCTGCTCACAGGGGAGGGATCGATGCTACGAACACCCAGGAGAACCCTGGAAGGAAACCCGATTCAGAACGTGGATGGAGAACACAGCTGCCTTCCCCAGAGAGAGCAGAGCAGGGAGGGCACGCATATCACACTATGCTCTGACTTCAGTACAAGAGGTTTAAACTCTTTTGGAAGCTCTTTTTAGAGTGACAGAGGAGCCGGCCTTGTGGCTTACTGGTTAAGTGCGTGCGCTCCGCTGCTGGCAGCCCGGGCTCGGATCCCGGGTGCGCACCTACGCACCGCTTCTCTGGCCATGCTGAGGCCGCGTCCCACATACAGCAACTAGGATGTGCAGCTATGACATACAACTATCTGCTGGGGCTTTGGGGGAAAAAAAATAAATTAAAAAAAAAAGAGTGACAGAGATACTAAGAGAAAGACAGAGACAGATAGACAGACAGACATGCACACACTCACATACACACACTCTCACATACACACAAAAGGAAGGAGGGAGGGCAAGAGAGAAAGAAATCATATTCTGGCTCATCTGGGAAAGGCAGAAACCTCAGAGCAGGCAGACACGCATGCGGCAGGGTGGCCTGCAGACTGGGAGTCCAACAGACACTGCTTCAAATCCTGGAGCAAGCTCTGTGGACTCGGGCGGGTGACTTGGCTTCCCTGAGCCTAACCGTTCCCCACGGTTAACCATGCCCACCTTTTGAGCTTGACGTGTGGATCAAGTAGGATAATTAATATGTGCAAACCACCTCTCATGGTACCTGGATCCAGGCAAGCACTCACTCAGTAGCAGAGACAATTCATGCTGACAAATGACAGTAATAAAGGATTTTTAAAGTGTTTGATCACTTACACCTTGTGACTAGTTTTCTCACATGGGGACTTTCAGGCTATATGAATTCGGAAGTCCCTTTCCGTTGAGATTATTTATTATTCCATCATAAATGCTACTCCCCACACAGCCATCTAATAAGTCTTTCATGAGCGGACTGCTCTCTCTTGCCACTGGACGCCTGCCCCTCCACGCCGGGAGACTTGGGAAGGGTCATTGGAGCGTCACCGAGGCAACCTCGGATGTTACTAAGCACATGGCTCTGGAGTCAGGCTGGTGGTGCTGTGACCATGGCTCCCACTTGCCTAGGTGTGTAACCTTGGCTACCGGCTTACAGTCTCACTTCCACAGCCTCCCATTGGGAAAATGAAGATGAAAATAGCACCCACGGCAGGGACTGGGCGGGAAGGGAATGAAATCCTACTTGTCATGCGCTCAGAACAGTGCCTGGCACTCAGCAAGCACTTCAATAAATGTCAGCCATCACCATCATGTAGGTTTGTTTTACAGCATAGGCAGTGACTTTCTAGAATGGTGAGATGAGGGTTATCAGATCTAAAACTGGAAGAGGGATGGTATGTTTTCATAGAAGTTATAAAAAGAACATTAGACTGGGAGACCAAAGAGGTGTCTCCTAGACCAAGCTCTGCCACTAATGTTTCACTACGCAAACTGGGGTTCTAGTCTGTTCATCAGGAAAATGAAGACCTTGAATTGCCTAACGGCCCCTCCAAGCCTGGCAGTCAGGAGCTCTCTCTCTGGGTGGACTTGGGCAGGTCCCGTCCCCTTACTGGGTCTCGGCTGCGCCATCTATAAGAGGAAAGTGTTGGACTGGACGATGACCCTAGGGGCCGTTCTGGTCCAGCACCGCACCAGCCTGTGCCCCAGGGGTCCTCACCTGAGGTACTCATAGAGCCCGTACATGGGCAGGAAGTCGATGTCAGACAGGAACATGTAGGGCGTGCCAACATGCTTCATGGCCACGTTGCGCAGCAGGTTCACAGGGTAGAACTGGCCCTCCTTGTACACGATGTGGTAGGCCACGTTGTGGCGGCTCATGAGCACCTCGGAGCCCTGTGCATAGCGGAGGAACTGTTGGGCCTCGGCGTCCGACAGGTAGAGGGCCAGGCTGATGGGCCCCTCCCAGTGCTTGCAGATGGCCTCGAGCATCTGGAGCCTGGGGGAGACAGGGAAGGTGAGCCACAGGGGAGGTGAGCCTCAGGGATCTTACCCTATCATCTGCCCGGCCTCCTTGGGGGCCTCTAACTCTATCCAAACTTGGTCAACCAGTTCTGAATCCAAATCCGTCCTCCAAACTTGAATCACTGTGTGATGGGGGCAAATCACCAAACCTCAGTTCCTTTATCTATAAAATGGGCATAAAAATACTTACCTTGTTGGTTCTCATCTTTATATGCTTCCAACTGAATGAGTGATATCAAGAGTTATATCCATGATAAGCCTTTTCTTTTCAGACTCCTTCTCTTTTCAACAGGGGGTGGGGAAAATCATATCAAATGATGTAAAATCCCCTTCCAGCTCAAAACTCCTATCCCTCTCCTTCTCTCTCAGCAAAGGTGTACAACAGCTCTACACTCTCCTAAAGCAGTAACCAGCCATAGAAGATGTAGCCAGACTGAGGCCATGAGTTCCAAGGAGCATTAAAACAAGCAGTAAGAACAAGAGTAATAATAACCACAATTACCCACTCATTACTATGCACCAGACGACTTTCCAGAATTCTCCCAACAACCCTATGCACCAGCTGTCATTTTCCCCATTTTCCTGATGAAGGAATTGAGGCTCCAGATATCCAGTCAGCTTTGATTCTTGGACTTGGCCAGACATGTGGAGACAGGTACCTGGACAGGGCCTTGGAGATGGTGAGAGGATAATAATACTGGGTTTTTGGCAAAGGGAATGGAAAAACGTGTGAATGTTGGGGACAAAGTATGCCTAGCGTGAAGCTGTCTTCACTTTCCAGAGCCATTCTTGCCGCAGGGCACCAGCCAATTCTGCAAGGCTACCTGAGAGGCACCGAGCTAAGGAGAGTGGAGAAAGAACAGAGCCCAGAGAAAAAACAAAGGTGCTTCCAGCAGAGTGGGCTCTGCAGAAATATTTCAAGTGAAATCTATAAGGATGTTTTTCTTTTCAAAGGCCATTAGAAGTGCCTAGTACCTAAAACCTATGGTTAAGAAACAGCAAAAACCTATTTCAATTTTTTTTTCCCTACCCAGCAAGAGGTACATAATCAGCAGTCTCCTGGTCAGAATGCCCACTTTATTCAGATGATTACCAGGAAATAGATTCCATGCATTTCCATGCTTCTAAACAAAAGAAAATGGGCACACCTATCTGTGTCAATGGCTTTCTCGACAGACTTTCAAGGCTTTCCTCTCAGTAATTCTGTGAATTGGTATTGCCCAGATTTGCATCCTCTCTCACTACAGAGGATTAATATATTCATAGGGGTAAAATGCCCTCCATTTCTCATACTTTATAACACCTGCTAATCAAATGGACCAAAGCTGGTTTTTTAAGAGGCATGACATTCTCCACAATGCCTAAGCTCCCTGAAATTTGCGTTTGGCCTCTGCTACAGGCCCTGGTCTCTGCTGGGCTCTGAGAACCTGGGATTTTGAATTACCCCACTTGCACCTCTGTTTCACGGTCTGCAAAGGGGGGGGACTCTGCATTTGCAAGGGAGAGCTGTGTGCACAAATCCTTTGAGATTTGGGGAGTAAACGGCAAGAATAATTTCTAATACGTGGATATAAGAGCTGCTGGAGGGAGTGGATGTAGGAGGTGTTTGGGTGTGAAGAGAGGCCAGATTCTGCCATGGATTCTCCCACTGACTTGGTTTCTGACTCTGTGTCGTGAGTTTTCCAAGCACGGAGCAAGCCCCCCTGGCGCAGCCCTTCTTTCAAGCTCTGCGAAGAGTTTAGAGTGAGAACAGAGACACAAAATACCTCAGGTTCTCAGGAGAAAGGTGCTGCTGACGTCACAACATCACATTCTCGTGGGCTTTACAGGAAATGGGGCCAGAGGTTCCGTGGAACCTCAGCCAGCAAGAACTAACGATGACACAACCCACCTCTGTTTCCCTGCCACTGGCCCTGACCCCTCCAACCTCTTCACCCTTAAAACCGAGCTTTCTGCCAGGACCTGAACAACTGTGACAAACCGAGGTTTCTCATAATGATGATAATGTATAAAATGTGATAACGATATAATAAATCTCTACCATTCATCCGCTGCTTACAGGGTGCCAGCCACATCTTGGTTGTTATCCTTTTTAACACTCACAGTAGCTCTATAAAGTTGAGATTCTCATCACTGTGTTACAGGTGAGGAAGCTCAAGGAGGTGAAGTGACTCCTTTCAAGCCACGGAGCTACAAAGCGGAGGAGTTGGATTCATGCCCAGGTCTGAGCGCAACACCCAGGATCCAGAACATTATTCAGTATGCACTGGTGTTAGGCTGAGAAAAATGTCCTCACGTATCTTCTCCTCATTGTCTGTTTTCCAAACAAGAATCTGTTCTTCTCTGCGTGTCAGCTTCTCTCTATTCCTTCCTCCCCCTCCTCAGTCTTCCTTGGGTCTGCCTCAAAGATCCTCCATTCTCCTGACCTTTCTCCTGGTTGTCTCTCCCCAAACCCATTCCAGAAGGTTCATTCCCGTGTAGCTCTTGTTGACCCAAAGCTCTGCATGGAGTCTTTCTTTGGTCTCTTATGTAGGAAGATGAATGAAGTACCTGGCACAGCAAGGACCTGAGCCAATGGAGAGTGTTTCAAGAGACAAAGATTAATTCTAAAACTACAGAATTATCAGTTTGGAAAGAGTCTCAGAGATTTTTCAGTCTGATTATACCATTTTTATGATGAAAGAGCTCGGCCTTAGAGAGGGGCATGACTTGCTCAAGAGCACACGATGAGTGCGTGGAAGGGCTAACACTGGGACCCACAGTTCTGACTCCTTCCCATGCTTTCCTCCACTTCCCCGTAGAGCCCATCATTGCTTCACACCGGGAAGAGGAGGGCAAAGGCTCAGGAGAGATGTCTGGCAGATCTAGAAACAGGCAGGAAGTCCTACTGAGACAGAAAGCCTCGTGTGATCTGTGTAGATATAAGGGAGCAGGCAGGGAGATGGAGGGTCAGAACCTAAAAGACCAGGATTGGAAGGAATTCTAGAAGCTCGGTCAGCCCAAGCAGCCGAGGTAGGTGGCCACTCAGCCTCTGCTGGAATGGAACACTCACTCCATACAAGGCAGCCGATTCCAATCTGGTACACAGGAGCCAGGTGGGCTGCATGGTACAGAAGTGCAACTGTGGGTTCTGGGGCCAGACAGACCTGGGTTTGAACTCCCAGCTGTGTTAGCATCCCTGAGCAAGTGATGATGGTTCTTTGAGCTTCCGTTTCCACATACACATACTGAGGATAATAATACCTTTGTAGATTAAAAAATGGCTATAAATCGTTCCTCTCCCTCTATCTACACCCTTTGGTAATACCCTCCCACACTGATGCTAGATTGGCCACATGACTTGCTTTGGTCCAGGGGATATCAGCAAACACAGCACAAACAGGGGCGTTAAAAAGTGCTTGTTTGGTGGGGCTTGCCTCTAGCTGCTCTGGGACCTTGTGACTGCCACCTCGTGACTGCAAAGTGTTTGGCACAAAGCTAGATACGCAGCAGGCACGCAGCCTACGACAGCTGTAATTTCCTCCTCGGGTTTGATTTCTGCCTTTCAAACGTGCGCTCATCCAACAAATATTGATGGAGTATCTGCAATGGGCAGGTATTGTGCTGGGCCCCAGAAAGAACAAGACAGACCAGGTTCCTGCACTTCTGGAGCCTCTTCCTAGCAGGGGGAGAAGACAATAAACAAACCGAGATAAATTCAGAGTGAAGTCAGAGCTACAGAGGCAACCAAACAGGAAACAGGATGAAGAGCAATGGTGGGTGAGGGCTGGCCCAGGAAGGCCTGCGAGCAGGTGACATTTGAGACCTGGATAAGGAGAAGGATCTGGCCTTGACAAAGTCTGGGAGAAAAGCTTTCTAAGAAGACGGAACGGTCCTTGGGATAAAACTGAGTTGAGCATGCTCAAGTCAGAAGCAACAGGACCAGTGGGGATGGAACATGGGCGAGTGAGGGGCAGAAAGAGAGATGCAGGTGAGCCAGCAGGTGCCAGGGCATATGGGGACTTGAGGGCCATGCTGGGCTGTAACACCATTCCAAATGCAATAAGAAATCATCAGTGTTTTAATGATGTGACCTGACGTATATGTTTCAAAGATCACTCTGGCTGTTACACAGAGAATTCCCTTTCACTCTCGAGAATGTTGCTTTTCAAACGTGGGCATGCTGAGAATCATTCGGGAGGTTTATTACAACACAGATGCCTGGGCCCACTCTGGAGATTCCTGTTTGGTAGGCCTGGGGTGGGGCCCGAGAATCTGTATTTCTAATAAGTTCCTGGTGAAGCTGTGTTGCCCGCTGGAGCAGCGTGGCTCTAAAGGATGGAGCCCTGTTAGCTCGGCTCATGTTTTCTTTCCTCCACTCGCCGAAAACAGAGAGAAGACCATCAGCCTCCTGTACTAACTTCAGCTTAGTACCTCATGACTTTGTCAAAGGAACACGAAAGAGCAAAGCCTCTCCCGGCCAGGCAGCAAGGATGCTGTAATCAGGATCTGTCCTGGCCAGCCCGCTCTGCTCTTTCAGCCATTCTCATCCACTGCTAGGACGGGAGGCAGGTCTCCTGAGTGGCTGGGAGAGGAGCAGGCCTTTGGCTCCACAGCTGCGGCAGCAAGGTTCATCCTTGCTGAACGGAATTCTAGAGGGAGCCGGGCACAGAAGCCCGCACGCCGGCTCTTCTAATTTGTTGTGGCATTCACGTAGGGCCTACTTCTGACTCAAAGGTTTACAAACACACTCGAAATGTTTCTTCAATTAAAAATCAATCCAACAGGCACCAGTCAGCCTGCTGCATCGTAATTGGATGTGTAGGATGGAGTGCAAGGAGGGATTTCTACCGTCTTCACCAGCTTGTGGTGCCGCTTTATAATTTTTGATTATGTCCTGCTAAGCATCTCTCGTTAGAGTGTGGAATTTCTTGGGTTCTCTGAGGTATTGTCGGGATGGCAATCCTTGTCACAATGCGTTAGGGGAGATCATGTGCCTGCCATGCTGGGGGATTTGTGTGCTTTGAAGGCAAGGCCTCTGGGGTTAGCGTTTGCCGCAGATCTTAGAGGTGCTGAGACTTTCTTTTAAGCAGGCTGTGAGGGAAGGTCCTGTTGGGTTTCCTGCAGCCCAAGCCAGGAAGATGCTTCCAGCTGACAACAGAAGGAGGGGCTGTTTTGCCTGTATTCTTTTGTTGATAACAAGTATATACAGAAGGATAGATTTGGGTTGTGAATAATTAAAAAAATTTTCTTTCTAATTGTAAATTCCAGATAGCAAATTTCATAGGGAGCAGAGAGGTTAAAAAAAATAATTAAGGTAAGAGAAACTAATATTTGTTGCACACCCACTACTCACTGGGCACCTTCCAGCCTTTTGTTTCATAAACCCAGACAACAATCTGCGACCTTGACAGGATTATTGCCACTTCACAGATAAGTAAAGTGAGGCTCAAAAAGCCTAAGTAACTTGCCCAAGTTCACACAGCTAGTGAGCGGTGCCACTGGACTTTGAACTCGGGTCTTTCTCTCCCTTTTTCCTCTGTATCACCTTACCTCTCCTAAATATCTACCACGTGCAGATACTGTGGTCAGGGTGCTCAGATCCAGCAAATATGTGCCAAGTGCTTCCACAGAGAGTCTCTTGTTTAACCCTAACCAGGACCCTATGAGGCAAAGATTTTTAACCCTCTTCATAGAAGGAGAAAGATACCCAAAGGAGTTAAGTGACTTGCCCAAGATCACCAGCTGAAGAGTAAAGGAGCTGGTGGGATCTGACCCCAGAGCTCTCTGTCTGTTAAGTCTAGTGCCCTTCTGTGCAATACCACAAATGTAAAGATTTTGGCCAATAGTGCTAGCATCATTTAGGAAGCCTTGAATCTATGCCAGGGCTAAGTCCTGGGCACGCGTGATCTCATCTGATTGTTACGATGACTTTAGTGGGGAGCCACTGTAATTATTATTCCCAGATTACAGACCAAGAAACCGAGGCTTAAAGAGGTTAAGTGACTTGTCCAAGGGTTAAACTTTGTGGCAGAACCACAAAGACCCCACAGCGTCTGACTCCAGGAACCAAGTTATTCACTGTCGGGCCACTTTTTATTCTGATTAGAAAGTACGTCCGATTTCTTTGCCTCTTTCATTTTCTCCTGAGTTCGGAGGGAGCCACTGGCTACTAAACTTGATTCAGAATATTTTGCTGATATGATGATGCATTATTAGGAGGCGTGAATGTCAGTGAGGACAGCCAGGGATGCTCTGAGAGACGGGAACCTGGGATTATCTAGAACTCACTGACTTGGGCAGATTATAGGATCTGAACTTCAGGTACCTCATCCGAGGGGCTTGAGGTGCATTTACGCTGCCTGGAGAATAGAAGACCAAACTAGACCATCGCTGAGCATGAACATCGGGGATTAGACTTTATTTTCATTTTAAATGGCATAGAGGAGAAGGAAAAAGAAATGTGAAAAGAGGTCTGTAATGGCCTGGTGACTTTTATTGTGCTGTTTGGTCGAGGAGAGTGCATGCAGCCAGACCGAAAGCTGGGTGAGAAGCCAAAGGGACGCAGAAGTTTAGGGGTGACTCTGGGACACCGGGCTAGGTCGGTGCCTCATGGAGCCTCACTGGGAGCCTGACAGGTTTGAGCTGGAAGGGATGGCCACCTCCCCTGGTTTCCCCAAGGCCCTCTGTAATCCAGGCCCTGCCTACCAGGCCAAGTTCATCTGCTCTCCTCTGCTTCGCCTACACCCTACGCACCCTAAGCTCCAAGCACACTCAGCCCTGTGTGTTCCCCAGTGGACCTGCTGTCCTCTCCCTCCTGTGAATACGCTGCACACTCCACCTTGGGGATCCTTCCTTCTCTCTCTACGTGCCTTCAACTGTCAGTCTACTCAGCTTCCAACTCAATGCAGGTGACACCTCCCCTCAGACACATCCCCTCTCTCTTCCTTTCTCTGGCCCAGACCAGGATGAGGGCTCCTCCCATGGGCTCTCATAGCATCTCTCTACTGTAAGAACCTGTTACCTGTCTGTGGCAGGCAGAATTCTAAGCTGGCCAAGACTCCTGCCTCCTGGTGTATACACCTTATATAGCCCCCTCCCTCAAGTCTGAGCAGAACCTGGGAATATGATGGAATATTACTCCTGTGATTACACAACATAACAGACCAGAGAGATCCTCCTGCTGGCTTTGAACAAGTAACCTGCCATACCACGAGAGGGCCACACAACTAAGACATGGGGGTGGCTTCCAGGAACTCAGAAGGACCCCAGCCCACAGCCAGCAAGGAAACGGACACTTCAGTCCTTGAGCTGAATTCTGCCAAAACCTGAACGAGCTTAGGAGCGGACACCGACTTCCAGAGGAGATCACAGCTCCAGCCAACACCTCGATTTCAGTCCTGAGACCCTGAGCAGAGGACCCTGCTAACACGTATCCAGACTCCTCACCCATGAAACTGTAAGATAATAAATGTGTTTTTCAAGCTGCTGAATCTGTGGTAATTTGTTATATAACCAGTGAAAACTAATATGCTGTCTGAGCCCTGAATACACTATACACTCCTTGAAGGCAGGAATAGGGTCTTATAAATATTCCTGGCCCCACAAGAGCCTGCCACGCAATAGCAATAGATGCTTACATAATATTTGCTGAGTGATCACGTGAATTTTGGAGACGAGAAAACAAGCCACGAGAAGGGAAAGACCTCGCTTGAGATCACACAGCAAGTCAAGGATGGAGCCAGGATGGACCTCTGTGCTGTCCCTTCTGTCTCATCTGTCCTTACCTGTCACCTGGTACGGTCAGCAAGTTCTCTGTGCTTCTGCACAGGAGTCCTGGAGGCCTGTAAATCTCCAGGAAACCACTAGCCAACGAAGCCATTTACTTCCACCAGCAATCATTCGCTAACAAGCGGCGGGACTCACAAAGCCAGGAATCTGCTTCCATAGGCCACACTCAGCATGAGTCACTCCCAGATGCCTCCAGATGTCAGGTTCCGGTCCCTAACCCGAACGCCAGACCACGGGCTATATGTGAACTTTGTCGTGTCTGAGTTTGTGTCTTTCATTTGTTTGCTCATTCGTCAATCATTCATGACTAATAACAAGTGACATTTATTGAACACTTAGTAAGTGTGCCAGGTACAGTTCTCAGCACTTTCCAGGCATTTGCTCAGGTAATCCTGAAAACAATGCCATGGAATCTCATCCAAAGGCTGGACAGGCATCTCCGAGGTGATGCGAAGACAAAATGAGCCCAACAAACTCCCTTCCTAATTGTGGGAGCTGACGGGGGATGACAGGAAGGAAATCGGGGCAAGGGCAGCCACTGTGGGCCATGTGTAAATCGAAGAGGAAGCCAGTCAGCGGAGGCGGGAGGCAGGCACATAGGACAGCCAGGTGTAGAAAAATTGTGTAGCCCTGAGTGAGTGGCCTCAGGACTTTGAATCCATTTACCTCCTGGCAGCGAGAGAGATGTCTTCAAAAACAGAAATTAGATCACGTAACTTTGTGTAAATTTCTTCAATAACTTCTCACCACGCTTAGAAGAAAATCCAAATATTTTATGAGTTTCTAATGTTCTATAATCTTAATCTCATGCCACTTTCCTCTCGATCCCCTGCTATGCTTCAGCCACAGTGGTCTTCTATCAGGTTTTTGAATCTGCAAAGCCCTCTCCACCACAGAGCCTTTGCACTTGCTGTCTCATCTGCCCGGAAAATTCTTTTCTTAGCAACTCGCATGCCTGACTCCTTTCTCATCCTTCAGGTCTCTGCAGAAATGTCCCCTCTTTAGAGAGACTTCCCCTGACCATACCACCTAAAGAAGGCCCCTCACTTGACATTGTTATTATCTATCTCATTTCCTTTAAAGCACTTATCACAATTATAATCATGTTCCTTAATTACTTTTTGTTGTTTATACTCCTAGCCCCATGTTCTCAACCTTGGCTGCACACTGGGAACTTAAAACAAGGCAAGGTCTCCAGCCCACAAAGATTCTTCCTTAACTGGTCTGCAGTGGGGCCTGAACATGAATTTGTTTTAAAGGCTCCCCAGGGGATCTACTTTGTCCCCAGCCAAGGTTGAGAATTGGTTGCACTAGACTGTAAGCCACGGAAGGGCAGGGATCATGTCAGAACTGCCTGGTAGAGGCTCGATGGATGGTTGTCGCATGAATACATGTATAAGGCAATGGAACAGCAATTGCTTTCCAGCAACGACTGTGCCTCCAGTCTATGTGTTTCCCAATGATTCTCTTTCTTTTGACATGATTTGAGGAGTGCTCTGTTTTTCAGAATCAATTCTTCCTCTATCCTCAACCACCACCACCATCATCACCACCACCCCCACCAAAAGACACGAGTCCTCGGTTTTCAGGGCTGGAGAGGGGATGAGACAAGCCCTCCCTCATCAGGCTTCAATATTCCAAGCCTGTGTCCAGGTGAGGAGCCGCAGGGAGGGGACTGTGTGGAGGGCGGGCCATCTGCCATACCTGTCCATGGAGAGCTGAGCGACCAGGGTGACGTCCGTGTTGTCCGAGGCGGGCTCATACTCATAGTGCAAGAAGTACAGGTGGGTTCGGTGGACGGTGAACCGCTCTCGCCGGAACTCATAACACAGGTCGTCCTCATCCAGCTCAGAGAGCTGCTTCTGGAGCTAAAAGGTAGGAAGGGGGCGTGGGAACAAGAAGGAAGCCCCGAGGGGGCCCAGGAGCCTGCCCATCGTGCCCCACCCTCCCTAGTCTGTTACCCATTGGACGTTGTTTATGGGCCACTCACAGAAGGACAGGATCGCTGTTTGCATCTTCTTCTGCAATTTAATCTAATTTCAGAAAAGGCACAATGCAGGACAGCTGAGCTGACCCTTGCCATCTGAGAAATGAGCCCCCTCTGAGCTGAGAATGATGGTGGTGATCATTGACGAACATATAATCAACCACAAACTCCTTACAAACAAACAAACAATGTTTTCCTAGATGACCTAGCACAACAGTTTCAAAGAACAGGCAGAAACCATCAAAGTAGAGAGGCACACAAACCGAACAGGGCTGTACCTTTGTGTGACCTCATGCTTTTCTCCCCCTAGAGCTACAGACTTCACTCCCTGTACTAGCTACTGGAGAGAAAAACAAAACAAACCCATAAACCAAACGAAAAATCTTTTCCTTTAAATTCATCCCAGTTAGAGTCTTGGCACCAACTCTTTTCTCTTTCTTCTTCTCTTCTTTCTAACCTCTGAAAGTCTGACTTCATTAATCTGCTGGTAGAAGTTCTTTGCCTAGCTCTACCCTTCTCCTTCCTACCCTACCACTGAAAGAACGGGCTGACCTGTGAACAGGGAACTAAGGACTTAGCATTTGACCTAAGCAGATGCAGAGACACAGGTGTCCAGATCTGCCGATACACAGCTACCGACACACAGCCGTCTTGGGTAAATCCCCAAACCCTCCCAAGCAGGCAGGACTATGTTTTATAGATGAAGAATTGCAATGAAAACGTAGAACTTTGACAGTGATGTTAATTAGACCAGTGGATATGTGGTAGCCGAATGAATGGACCGGGAAGAGGCAGGAGAGCAGCTTTCTGGGGGACGAAATGTGCTACGTCATGATTCAAGCGATGGTGAGTGACATGGGTGCACACATTAGTGAAAATTCAATGAACTATACACTTAGAACAGGTGGATTTATCATTTGCAAATTGTATTTCAATAAACTTGATTGTTAAAAAATAATCTGCCAAAGGTCGCAAAGCTGGTTCCAATATTTTTTCTGTTACATCAGCCTTGTCCATCACACAATGCCACATAGGTGAATACAGATTAAAGTTTACACGACTAGAGTTACTAACCCGGCTGAATGTATGAGAACATTTTTCCAAGAAGAAGGTATATATATTTTTAAAATCTCCAAACCAACAGTGTAGTAATCAACAAGAAATTTACCAACTCACTTCTGTATAACCTTCTAGCAGTTAAGACCATCGTCATCATAGATTAAGCTATGGCATTATTTCTCAGGATGTGTGCTATGGCAGACAATTGCATTAACTATTCCAATTCCTCACCCTGCCCTACATCCCTACCCTTTATCATGTGACTTCCGGTAATGCTTACTCAAGAGACAGAGCTTACTTCCCTGACCCTTGAATCTGGGCTGGACTTGTGACCTGCTTTGGATGACAGAATGGTGGGGAAGCAATGCTGCCCCAATCCTGAGGCTAGGCTTCAGAGGAAGTGCGTGTTTCCTGCACCTCTCCTACCGCCATGAGAAAATGCCTGGGCTAGCCTGGTGGAGGACGAGAGACACCTGGAACAGAGCAGGATCGCCCCAAGTGCCCCAGTCACGGGAGTGAGCCCAGCCAAGATCAGCAGAGCTGCCTCAACAAACACTTCTTGTTGTACACCGCTAGGTTTTATGGGTTTGGAGCAACAGACAACTGACAGAGTGTCACTGGCACACTGTGTGGGGTGCTTTTCTGTTATGCGAGCCTGTCCCACATATCACGGGGCGGTTAGCCTCCTGGGCCTGGCCCACTAAATGCTTGTAGCCTCTTCCAGATGGCCATACAACTCCAAATGCACCCGCGTATTTCCAAACGCCACTTGGGGAACCACTGAGATCCAGTGAGCTATGAGACAGTCTCGGCTATCTAAAATTTTTAACTACTAGAAAGGATACAATCAGGGATACTCTTTAGCTTTTCAAGCCCAATCTGACGTTGTTGCCTATTTGAAGATTCCCACTATGCCAAGAGTGTAACTATTCTAAGGCCAGGATGCTGGAATTCTCATGCCACCTAAGATCCTATGAGCCAAGTGACCCCTTCTGGCCTGCAGGATTAAACCCAGATCCTCATTGAAAATCATATACTCTCTCTCTGACTCATCGATCCCACCTTCTCTGTACTTGCACCAATGATCTCCTCTCTGCTCCCCAAGCCTGCCTTTCCTCCACACCTCCAGGACTTTGCATATGTTCTTCCCTCTTGCATGCCCTCCCCCACCTCACCCACTCTTCTCCACCTGGGGACCTTCCATTTACCTTTCAAGATTCAGCTTAGATGCCGCCTTCTCTGTGAGACCTTTGCTAACTCTGCCAGGTAGAGCTGGCCCATTTCTTCTTTGAGCTCCAAGAGCACTCAATTTGCTAACTCCGCTAAAGCACTTGTCAGTTTGAACTAAAATTATTTAAGGGCAACTTCCCCGGCAAGACTGTGACACTTTCCCACTGCCCCTAGCACCGTGCCTATCGCATGACAGGTGCCCGACATTCACGTGTTGCATGCATGAGAAATATGTGCTGCACACAGGAAGGCTGTCATCACTGTGACGTTCAGGCCTGTCTTTCTAATTTTCCTTTTGTATCTCCTAATGTTATGCATGGAAGGTGCTCATTCTGAAGCCCATTATTTGCTTCTGTATTTGTAGTTCAAGGGTCTGTGATGGCTGAAAAGGTTCTGAACAGCAAGCAAGAATGCACCAGGTGCTGGGCACACGTGATTCCCTTTCTGTAGAGCCCTCCAGTGAGGCGTGTGGAGTTTCATTTGATAGCTGAAAAAGCAGTTTTGAGATCTTGAGGTCCCTCAGGGAGGTCAAACCTGGGTCTGTGTCCCTCCACCACCAAGCTGCCTCTTTAGGAAAGATGCTCATTCAGCATCCAGAAGCAGACGCAGCACAGTGACTGAGGTGCCTGGTTCTATCCCACCCCCGCCTGTACCATCTCGGGTGAGTGAGTGAGTTACTTAACCCTTCAATTTCCTCAACTGTAAAATGGGCATAATGATAGTAATTACCCCAAAGGATTGTAGGAGGATTCCAAGAGATTCTGCATAGGAGGAGTACCGTGTTAGAAGACTCAACAGATGTCACATTAGGAAAAGGAAACACCTGGGCCCCTGAAGACACCCAGGTGGATGCTTTCTGTCCTCCAACATGACTTGAAGGAGATGCCATGGCAAGGGGCTGGAAAGCAGGGAAGGCAGGGGCTGGATGAGCCCCTGTTTCATGAGTGTCAGTGACAGTCCCCTTATTTTTCTCCTTGAGGAACCCAAATATGCCTGGAAACCAGAATGTGGCTCCCAGGAGGAAATTTAACCAACTGAGATCTTCCTTCCCTTTCTCACCCACACTGCAAAAGAACACAAGCGATTCTTCTCCTTTAGAGAATAAACATCTGCAAAGTTCTTTGTAAAAGCAGAGTTGCTTTTAGGGTGTTTGCTTTGTGTTTTTTTTTTTTTTTTAATTGCAGTAACATTGGTTTCTAACATTGTATAAATTTCAGGTGTACCTCATTATACTTCTATTTCTGCATAGATAACATCACGTTCACCACCCAAAGATGAATTACAATCCATTACCTGTGTTGTGTTTTTAATATGTTGACAGGAGTGAGTGCATGGCTTCCAGTCCAGCAGAGAGAGGCGTGGGAAAGTGTGGGGATATGTGTGTGTGGTGAAAAGGGTCTTTCTTTAATGAGGCCTCAAAGGAGAAGGTTATCCTCATCATGTAAGAAAGAAGATTAGTGACCAGAACATGAGAAGTGCATGTGTGTATGGGGGTCTCTCTTCCCACTTATACATACACAGGCACACACTCTTGAGTGAGGGGAGAACGACATTCCAAGGGAAATGGCTCCAAGAGCCACGTGCTAAAAAGTACCCATTTAGTGGGCTCCTAAAGGCAGGAGCTGTATCCCATTCTTCTTTGAGGCCCCTGTACCTAGACCATCTAAGGCATATTGTATGCTCAAGGAGCCTCCATTGGATGTACTCATAGCCAATGCATGTAAAGAAAGGGAACAGTGACCAACGAAAGTGCTCCCAGGACTACCAAGGTATGGCCTGCCCTAGTAGGGTGGGTATACCCGCAGTCCTGGGTATACCCGCATCCCAAGGTCACCTGTGTCCATCACAGTGCTTAAGGGGCAGGATCTAGGGAATATTATTGTCTATCAACCATCTGGGGTATTGTGGAGATCATACCAGGTGTGATGTCAGAATCTATGGGACTCTGGACCAACCAGTTGCCTTCCTTGAGCTTTGACATTATATTTATTATCAACATGGTGGTTTGCACCTTTGCTCAGCTAATGTGGACAGAGCGCCCACTATGAGCAGGTACAGTGCTAAATGTTTTCAGGTGCATTGCTTTATTAATCTAAAAACATTCAGCACACATCTCTGTTCTAGAAAGAGGAAACTGAGGCTCAGAGGATTTCCACAATCTGCCAGTTACACAGCTAGAGAGAAGCAGTCTGGATTGGGAGTCCAGTCTTCGGACCCCACACCAGGGACATTTTCACAACACAATTGCTTTTCTCCTGGGGGTTGGATGTGAGGATCAAATGAGCTGGTGGAAGATACAATGCTCCATGGACAAAGCAGGCCATAAAAATGCATACGCAGTATGATCCTCATACAGCAAAAAGACAAACACAAAAACACATAGAAAATAGACCAAAGGAAACACATTACAATGTTAACAAAGCTTTTCTCTGAGCAGTGGATTCAGAGATGAATTTTATTGGCTTCTTTATACTTTTCGGTACTTAACTAATTCCCTGCAATTTTCTCAAATGAGCTAATGCATGTAAAAGTGCTTTGTAAACTGTAAAGTGCTACACGAACCTAAGCAATGTCATTATGATTACATTATGT